TTCCAGGATTCAATTTACTTCTTTGCTAAATATCGCTAACATATTTATATATATCTCTCTCAATATATATGTGTAAGAATTTGAATATATATTTAATATGTAGATATGAGGTTAAATCTTGTTTCTTGGTTATTTTTTCCAGGACAAGATGCTCTGCTTTGGAACCGGAATTCTGCTGTGTATGGGAATCAGTATTTTTATCCAGAGAGTCAAAATTTGTGTGCCAGTAGTAGTAATGTTCATAATCAATTTGGTGCTACTACAAACTATGGTACTGGTTATTTCGGTAATGGCGGGTACTATGGTACCAATGGTTGTGTTGGAGAGTGGTGTGAACCAATACCTGAGTTGTTTTGGCCTGGATACAACATAATTACGCTGGCTAAAGATAAAGAACGGTCCCGAGAGTTGCAGGATCTTTTGAAAAGTGAGAGTTATTATGCTGATTTCATACTTGAGAGGGTACTCGATTCTATGTTGGAGTTGATGATAGACAAACAAGGACATCATGTCTTTGAAAAATTAGTTGAAGCATACACAGGCAGATATGATAAGTTGCAATTGATTGTGGACAAAATTATTTTACAACCCTTTTCACTTAAGGATGCAGCATGTAATCAATATGGGTGAGTACTTTATATATACACATCCTAAATTACACTTGTTTTTAAGCATATATGCTTATATTGATCCACTGGACTAATTAATGGCATAACTTGTTTAATGAACAGCTCACATTCAATTCAGAAACTCATCAAACAGTTGAAGAAGTCACCCTTGGCCTTCAAGATGACAAAAGCTCTATCTATCGGATTTTATGATTTGATGATCAATAAAACAGGCAAGCATGTTATTTTGCAGTGCTTCACTGCATTGGATTATAAGGCAAATCAGGTAATTTTATTATCCTTTCTTTAGCTTAACCTGAATTTGTTTCCACTATATCTATATGCAACTCACTATAACATTTGATCTCAGGTATTATATCTAGAAGCAATAGGGAATTGTGTGGCATTGGCCACACACCCAGAGGGATGTATATCCCTGAATGATTGCATTAACTGCATAACAGGTGATCACAGACAGCACCTTCTAGGCGTTATCTCCCATAACTCGGTTTACCTTTCGTATGATCCTTCAGGGTACGTATAAATCTCATGGTGATTCCCTATCCTAGAATCAATAAAATTAAGTATCACTTGTATAATTGTGTTGTTTAGGTAAACTAAACTCATTTGTGTTGTTGATGGTCTTAATTTTTCCAGGAACTTTGTGGTGCAACATGTCCTAGGACTCCATAACCAAGATTTTACTCTTGATATTTGCAATCGTCTCCGAGGAAACTATACAAGGCTTTCAATGACACAAAATGGCAGCCACGTAGTTGAAAAATGCATAAAGTTGTCCAAAGAAGGGATGCATTATGTGGTTGAAGATATTATGCAGAGCAACAACCTTCAAGAGCTTGCTCGACATAAATTTGGTAATTATGTGATTCAAACAGCTTTAAAGACCACAAAGGTGAGTCTCAATTTCATATGATCTTATGAAATTTGTTTTCCCACTTAATTAGCACTTTGATGACATATACAAATACTTGGTTATATATGTTTGTTTGTAGAATTTAATTTAACTATGTTCTGTTTTGCTCTGTTTTCGTATGCAGAAAGCCGATATAGATCTATATAAATCTCTTGCAAGCGCCCTCCAACCACATTTGTCAACTCTGCAGTACTGTAAGCCAGGAGGACAAAATGTGGTTAAACTGATTAGAGGTGGCTTCTGAAGGCAAAGTCTTGTTTCTGCTGAATGAGACAATATATGTTGATTATGAAATTCATTGTTGTTGATGGTTTAGTACCTTTGTTGATTGTTTTGTTTAAGCTAGGCTATTATGATGAGGTTTGTGTAAAGGGGTGCAATTAAGTTCAGTGCAAACTGTTTGCTGGTTTTGTAGCTAAAAAGATGTAAGGCTTCCCCTGTTTAGTAGGGTTCCTACTTCTGTATTTAATATAATTTGAGTTTTGTCTCTTCTATTCTGAATAATGTATGATTTCCTGTGATTGATTTTTTATTTTTTGATTGATTTATTTGGTAAGATTGATTGATATTAACAAAAGGAACAAATTACAAGTAATAAGGGGGGTCATAAACCCTAGAAAGATGAAAGAACCTGAAATATACAAAATTAAGAGGTACCAAAACAGAGAACAGAAGACTCTTTCAGGATTATAAAAAATTAAAAAAAAAGCAGGGGGTTTTGGAGACTTTTCTTCAAGGAATCGAACTGTTTCATAGATTTTCTTTTGAACATAGACTGGATTAGAATACTAATTAGTAAAAATCCTGCTGTTCCTTTCAATCCAAATAAAATAGATTGGAACACCTTAATTAAAAAAAGAATTCTTATCTGCTTTTAACTTTTTACTTTATGGAGAAGTGGGGTCCACATCATCTAAGCTTATCAATGGAGAATTCTTCCTCAACGGCACAAGTCCTTCTGGAAATTGGCTGTTTCAGTAACCTGTTCAAGTTTCAAGAGAAATCAGCATCAATATTGTTGATCACACTAATTGATTTAATTGACAACTGATTTAGATATAAACACCATGGAATATTTAACAGCACAGTCCTGAGCAAAAATCCTGCTATTTCTTTCAATCCAAATAAATTAGATTGGAGCAACTTAATGAAAATAATAAAAGAAAAAAAAATGAAAAAAAGAACAGAAAAGAAGAATGAAGCAGCAAATGAACCGAGCCGAGCAACTTTGACATGCTCGGGCTCGGTTCACCACAATCTGCCTGGTGCTCGGGCTCGTCAGAGTATCGGCGAGCTCGGCTCGGTTTGGGCTTGTTTGCACCATTTCATTTTCACTTCTGATTTTATATGCAATTTGTGGACCGGAAGAAGAGGAATATATGAACACATATACACACATATATAATAATACACAACAGAGTATTGTATATATATAACACAAACAAATCACATGTATTGAGTTATAAATGTATAGTTATATATATATATATATATATATATACACCTTGAGGTTGTCTGAAATCATCAACAATTGTGCATCGTTCCCTTTTTGCAATTAATTTCATTATTCCTCCATTGTTGTCTTTAAAGAATATGAAAACTTGAAGGGCCGGTGAAGGGAGAGGCTGGTCGAGTGGTCGTCGCCGATCGTTGCAGAGAGTGACAAAAAGAACGTGACGGATGCGCATCGTTGTAGACAAATGATCTAAGATTTTTAGGGTTTAGTTTGTGTTAGCAAACTTAAATGGGTCTGTTGTTGGATCTTTAAAATGAAATAAATATGGGTCATTTTGTGTTGGGCTTAATAAGAATGTATTTTACAAATAGGATCATGTAAGAGTGGATCAAATATGTTGGGCTGGATCAAATTTTTTTAAATTACTAATAAATGAGCTTGTTCACGAGTTTACCATTAATCGGGTTCGGCACGAGTTTAAAATTTGTGTTTAAACTTGGCTCATTTGCTAAACGAACGAGTCCGAGTCGAACCCTTAATTAGTCGAGCAATTCATTTGCAGCACTAATATTAACTTGTTGACGTGGTACCAACAAGAACTTATTACACGGTCTCATTATTAGCATGTGACATGAATTGTTTAACAAAATAATTTTGATTGGTTATTTATACAAAATACAAACAAGTGGAGAGTCTCACGTACTCCTTTATTTCTTACATAATTAATCTATTAAAATCGATAGGTTTAATAATTTATTGTAAAATTAAAATATTTATTTGCGTGTCGAATTATGATTAGTTAAACTCTTTAATCTAAAATTATTTAATAATTTTTTCCTACCAAACTAGTGAATTAGAAGATAATTCATAAACTTTAGAGTTACAACAATTATTTACGAGAACTCTAGCTACTAAAAATTTACCCAAATAAAAAAAAAAAATTCCTCTAGCTACTAAAAGTTCTAAGCCAGGGTCTAATATATATATATATATATATAAATATTGTTCTAAATATGTAAAGATGGAAGGATTCCGATACAGATTGGTGGGAAGTTTTGTACAAGATATTAGCTACATATATAAGGAAGATGGTTAAATGTGTGCAGATGGAGATAGTTGGGGAAGGCTTGAAAAAGGGGCCTGTAAACCTATTCCTGTCCGCAAAATTAGACGTGTCAATGCTTAATGCTTTTATAGGTTTGGATTTTGCAATTAAATTAAAAAAGAATACGTAGACCATAAGAGTTGGCTACCAACCTATACAGTTAACCTTCCCTTCTAACTTCCAACTTCTTCCATATTCACCCCCTAAGCCAAGAACAAATATATACGTCAATTTCCATTTTCTTCACCTCACCAAAATGCCCTTTCTTTCATCATTATTAACCTTTTTTTGTTTTAACAGGCACATATTGAATTTGAGACAGACTTATTTTGTTTTTCCCACATATAATTAGGACTAAGAATATCGAATATATAATGTCCTTTAAAAAGTTAATTACAATTGTTTACTAAAGTATATCTTATATATTGACAAAAATAAGTGGAGAGCAATACTTGTACCAACAACATCATAAACTTTTTTTCTCACAACAAATTGAAATTCGTTGCAAGAAAATTAATTTTCCCTTTCACTTTATCTAACATTATAGAATCAGTAACTTAAATAGCATATTATCATAAAATTTCGTATTAACTCACCATGTCAATTATGACATTTTCATTCCTGAGAAGTATCTTCAATGTCACACACACACTTGTTTCCTTTGCATTATAATTGATTTTTTAAATAATTTTATTTACAATTTGGTTCAATGGCAATTTAGGGTCAACATTAAGTAGACGCAGAGTCAAAATCTCATTTTCTTATAATGAAAAAAAAGACAGTAATAAGAAGGAGAAACATGTTGTCAAGCTGAAGGCTACAATTGTAATTTGAAACACTGAAAAGGGCATATGAACCATGCGCTTCCTTATAAAACCAAAGACGGTAGCTTTTCATTGTCTCTCCATTCTGTCTTTCTTTAAAACAAAGTTTAGAAATAAAAAAAAAAAGACACACACACAAAGATGATGAGCCATTTTTGCGGCTGCAACAAGTTTATGATGATCATCATGTTCTTGATGTTCATATTCTCTTTCTTCCTCGGAACTCCGGTGGTGGCCGGACGTGAGATTAATCCGTTGGTGGAACTGTCAAGCAGAGAGGACTTGGTGCAAATGGCTGGATATGGAGAGGATAGGCTCTCCACTGTCCTGGTTAGCGGTACGCTTCTTTGTGAGGACTGTTTGGATGATCAAAAAACTCCACTCCATCCACGTCCCGTGTCAGGTCTGTAAGATTACTTTCTATTAATCCCTTTCAATATTCTTATGATCATGCATGCTATATATATATATATATGTATATGTATATGTATATGTATATGTATATGTAGTGCAATCAAGTTCTGAAATAATTAATAATTTTTTTAGAAATTAAAAGATTTCGAGACAGTATATATGCATTTAGTAAAACGACTCGAATATGGTCCTATATATACTTTTGATACTCAACAGTAGCGTTACACAGATATATATGTATAGAGAGAGAGTAATCATTTGCAATTAAGTATTTTATGCATGGTTACACCCGGCCACATGTGTTTGTGTGAATAATAACATGCATGAATTCAGCAATGACATTCATCAGATCAGACCAGCAAAAGTTCATGAGGTAGAGAGTTTTTTCTTTTTTCTTTTCTTTTTCTGGTGAAGAAAAGGACATTTCATATACCAAAATAAATCAATACTCTCAATTAAGTTTCTCAACTGGATTTAGTGTTGGGTCCTAATCACTTCAAGTGTCCAATAAATAAAATGTTATAAATTAAGAGGCTTTAATGTGCAGATTTTAGTGTTTTTTTCTATTTAATACGGACAACCCAAATAAGTTTAATTATCATACTTGATCAACTAATATATAATTTTTAATTTTTAAAAATAAACGGTACTTTAGTCCATACACCATTAATCACACAATATTTGCTTGATTTAGATAATTCTAAAGAGTTTACTACACGTCTTATTGGTATTATGTGATCCCCATTAAGGTAGGTGCAAACCTACTGTTAGCATTATTTGAACAAAGTGATCGCGAGACTTGAACCCATGTTTTTTTTTTTTTTTTTTTTGAAAGGTGACTTGAACCCATGTTTCAAGCAATGACTAATACATAAATTGCAATTGACACAGTAATTAACGTATGCAGGTGCTTCGGTTGCTGTTTCATGCCTCGTATGTCGTAAGACGAAAAAATCAATTTTGATACGAGGCACCACAGATGAATATGGAGACTTTCTCATCGATCTTCCTTCCCACCTCCATGCAATTCCAAACTTGGAAAAGATATGTCTGGTTAGAGTTCTTCAACTACCAAAGGACTCCCTATGCCGTCCAGATCCAGCCTTCACCGGTAAACACAAAGCAATAAAATTGTCATCAGTGGGGAATGGCATCCGTACCTACACAGCTCAAAGGATACATTTGACACAAAAACCTTCAGAGGCATGCACCTCCAACACAAGAGACGGTAAAGAAGAGATGGTATATGCCTAGTGACAAAAAGTTACATGGCCACAGCTCATTTGGATGGCGCTTCAGTCACAACATTGAGTTGTGTGGAGTTATCCTACTTGCCAATTAGTCATGTAAAATTCATGTGTGTGTGTGTGTGTGTGTGTGAGAGAGAGAGAGAGAGAGAGAGAGAGAGAGAGAGAAGGTATATATATATATATATATGTATGTATGCGTGTGTGTGTATGTAAAGTACAATACTTCTCATTTGAATATACTTTGTGTGCACACGGTAACTTTCTTCCGTGAAATATAGCTCTTTACTAACATCTATGAAACAAACACCTTTGAGCAAAGAAAATCTCGACATATTCAGTAAAAAGATTAACACAGAAGCTGTTCTAAAGAAAGTTGGAGTTGGAGACAATTGAAAATTTAAAGCACAAAACTTTAATATTATAAATATCCTAGAAGAAAGCATTCAAAAGGATCCTTGAATATGACCTCAAGCCAAAACTACAAACGGAATCCAAGAAGATAAAATAACTCAATCAAATATTCTCCACAATCTTCTGCTCAGCTCCAGCAATGATGTATTTAGCAACATCAGCACAGCAACTAAGCTTATCTGCTTTCTCATCAGGGATCTCAATGGAGAATTCTTCCTCAAAAGCCATGACAAGCTCCACCCTGTCCAAGCTGTCGAGGCACAAGTCCTTCTGGAAATCGGCTGTTTCAGTAACCTGTTCAGGAGAAATCAGTATCAATATTGTTGTTGATCAAGACTAATTGATTCGATTGACAAGTGATTTAGATATAAACACCATGGAATATTTAACAGCACAGTCCATTTGCTCACCAATTACTACTAAACAAAGCTATAAAAGTCAATTTAAGGTACAAAAGATAATACATTCAGCATAATTTAATTGACTTGGTACCTTAGTGGCATCAATCTTGTCATATTTTTTAACCAGCCCAATCACTCGAGCCATTATATGATCAGGGCTGGTAGCAGTAGATGTGCACAGTTGTCGGCTCAGCCTGCTCAGTGCATTCACATGTTCAGCATGGAACCATTCTTTCATAGAGACCCTAAGTCTCACATAACTCAAAACAGAGTTTCTTAGGCTTTGCATGTTAAGTTGAGCTGATAACCAGTACAATTCAAAGTTAAGTCAGGGTGCACAGCAAATGAAAACATAGTAACAAAGGAAGGGGTAAAGTTCAGGGAAAAAAGAAAAGAAAGAAAGGATCTTTCTCAAAACTTATATGTAGATAAATCTTAAACTATGAATATTGCATATGATGTAAGGAAACATGCTTAATGCAATAGGGGTTCAACTTGGCTTCAACTTACTCTAAAACCGCAGGTAACTTCCTGTCTTGAAAGTTTCATCCTTAACTAAAATTGTATTCTACTCCCAAATGTAGCTTATGAGTGATTAAATCCAAATAGCATTCATTCCTCAATGTGAAAGGAAAAATTCCAGTAAAAGAAAGGAAAAACAAAAAGGGGCCACAGAGAAACATTCTTCCTTCAAGTACAATATACATCGCAATTAATAATTGGTACCTTGGACAGACAATTGATTGATAGTGGCTTTAAAATTGATTGCGCACCAAACACACTGCACAATTTTCTATATGTAATTAGCTGAACCTTAAATATATATTTTTTCCTTCTGCATTCACCTATATGCAGCAGAGACTTTCAAGTTTAAATAATGAATACTAGTACAACTACAAGGTGAAACCAACAATTTGTTTGTTGAGAAAGGCACAAATTAAAAAAAAATAGGTGTAATGCGTTTGAAAATATCCCATTCAGAAATTGGGTGTTGTATTATCGGATGTAAGGAAACCTTTCTGAGGACAAGGAAGTCCAAGAAAGTGTCATTCCCATTTTAATTTATCAAACAGTTGGTGATTGTGTTACTATAATGACAAATTGGCTCCCAAATTCTTTCCTACTTAGCAAAATAGTTTGTGCGTCTAAAAGGACGACATTTGAACACAATATCCACACAAGACTTTTAGACGGACATTTGAACACAATATCCACCCAAAACCATAACAATAAAAACTACTGATTCCCATTTATATAGACAATTATACATATATACAAAAAAAATGGAAGCATATTTACAGAAATACAAGTGAAATAAATTCTGAACTGAGGCTTCTTTCATGTGTGAAAAATAAAGATATGGCGCAAAAGTGATAAACCATCATCCAATGCTTTGTCAGCAATTCGACATTCTTCATCGAAAATCCAAATACCATGTATATACAAATTATATCAAACGACCAATTTCATAATATTATAAAATTTCAGCAACCCATGTTAAAAAGGAAAAACAGGAGAGAGAGCATCAAAGAATACAGAGACCTCTAGTTCCATTGTAAGCTTACCGAGATAATAAGAGCAACTGGGAAGAATTCTGGAAGCATAAACAAAGAGAAAAGGAGAGAAGGAAAATGTATGTATATGTTAATTGTAGGTAACAATCATATAATAGGGACAGAAAAGGAAGCAACCAGGAAATAGGCCAAGTACCTCTGTCAAGTGTACGTTTGTTTAGTAGCACCACTAATGTATGCTATGTGTTTGCTTTATTGTCTCACAGAAAAAAAGCTTCGGGAGATCAATCGCCTATTGGCGACCTCGTTCTTAATATTTTCTTTGCCTGTTCTCGATGAGGCAGGCAGGAGGCTTGGTGGACATGTGGAAATGGATATCATTCTTCACGAACTTAAGTGGGCTGGTCCACAATTTGGAATCTCACAAGCTGGCCCAAGTAAAGCCCAGTTAACAATATACACAACTGAAAAAAATTATACCAGCCAAATTTAAGGGCCCCCAGAATTTATAGTGTACATTTCTCATTCTCAAAGACCTTATTGTTTGGAAATAAATATGTGAGCACAGTGTAAAAGTTGATGACTGGTTGGGCCAACCACACATATATACCTATATCCCCCTCGTTCCCACTCTATCCAGCGACTATATAGCCAAGTGCACCTTTAATGGCATCTTTGATGCTCTCCAAGCTGTAAATTCCTCCGAATTCTCTCCTTCTTTCAAAGTCGAGGTCCTTTCTAAAGTAGAGGTTCTCTATTTTCATCAGAGTTTGGCGATTTCTCCACGGTGGTTCGTGGTTCTGATGTTTTCTTTTTACCATCCAGTCCTTGGTGCTTATTGTATAAACCAGATCAAGTTGTTTTTCATTATTATTAAGGCTGGGCCTCTTTTTACTATTACATGGGTTGGGCCTCAATGCTTTTTACTTCCAGGTTAAATTGCACTCACAATCCCAAAAGTATGATAAAGACAGCCATATACAATTTGTGCACCGTTTGAAACTCCATATTTGTCAAATTGAACAATCACACCCCAACATTCTTTGACGGCAATATGAAATGTCTAAGTTACTCCTCAATAAAATATTTTATTTTGCACCAAAATGTCAGCTTAATGAAATGACCAAACTTCCTTCAATCAATATTCATTTCATCTCCTCCATTACCCATCTCCTTCTCCACTGACCACAGCCACCACCAATTCAGAACGGTGGGTGGCTGACCCTTTGGCGATTTTGGCGGTTGCTTAAGACCCCAGCTAATAGGAAGGCCTCGAATTTTTTATTTCTTCATATTATATCCTTCTTAAAAATTTATTTTTTTCCTATTATCACTCTTGTCAATATAAAAAGGCCCCAAAATTTGTATTTTCTTATATTATAACTTTCAAAAAAAATTTATTTGTTTATATTATAACTTTCCTATAAATGTTATTTCCTTCTTATTATTAAATTCTGACCAATAGAAAGGCCCCCAATTTTTTTTTATTATAACTTTCCTAAAAATTTTATTTGTATGGATTGTTAGACCCTAACCAATAAAGATTTAATATGAGCCAAAAGATTTCTATCATTATCTTCTCTCACTCTCTCAGCTCCTCATTCACGTTTATTTTTTTCTTCAAAATTTGGAAAATTTTCCATATTCTTATTTTAATTTTTATCTTCTTTGTTTTTTTTCTTCTTCTTATTTCTAACATATTTTTCTTTCATTTTTCATTAAGTATAATTTGTATAACTCTAAGATCAATTATATATGACAAGAAAGATTAATTGGATTGACTATATATATTAGATATTAAAAGGCCGCTTTTATATTTTTCCACTAGGCCCTCAAAATATATTGAGACACTCCTGAGTGTGCCCAAGCAACGAGTTTCGTAGAAGTCTACTTAGGTTTCATCCATTTCTGGCAAAGCAGTTGCAAATCGCGTTCAAACTAGTTCCAGCGAGCTACATCGACCCAACTTCAACTGTCCAAATGGCGAGTTACAATTAAGCAACCATCCAAGTTTGGCAAGCTTCAGTTACGTCCGGCGACACTCCGAGCAAACAAGACCCCATTGGTGATCAGTGATCAAGCTTCAGCATACAGCCAAAGCCATCATCCTCATTCCAACCGAGACCCAGAAAATTAGCCAGCTAATCCCGAAAGATGCATCAATTGGTGAGATGAACAGAGATTAAAGGTTGCAAATGTATGTGGTCATGTTTAGATATATAAAATAAAAAACCCTACTTTGTAGCGAGTCTATCTGGCGCCTATGTGTCAATAGTGTGGGCCTTGCTTAAAATATAGCAACATCTCTTTTAGAAAGTTACAAGGTAGTAACTTTCTAAAAGAGATGTTGCTATATTTTAACACTTCCTATTCATTTCTTGCATGTTCATCGTGTGATACCCCCTAATTTTGGAACACGGATTGATCAAGTCCGCGCACAAAATCAAGGGATATCAAAACAATTTAAGTATTTAACAAGCACAGAATACAAAGATGAATAATAAAGAATAAATAAACCGCTGAAGAAAACTAATAAATAAATATTACTTAATGATTCTCCAACAATTACAATTCGGAAATCCCATAACTCAAGGACCCCTTAAAACATTATCCAATAATTCAATACTATTTAAAAGTACACAAGATGAATAGACGAATGACAGTCTCCCAGCTGCGGATCCTCAACCTCGAGACTGGAACCTCTAATAACCTGAAAAATAAATCGTGGGTTAAACCCTACGAGCAAGTTCACTCTACCAGGCCTCTGAAAACCAATAAGCAGATCATCTCTGATCAAAACCAAACCTAATAAAGTTTTAACTTTAATAAAGCACGATATACATGTCTATATATAATTATATATACTATACTAATCACATCCATTAATAGGTTTATTAAATTTCCATACCTATTAAATAATTATTAAAATAATATTCATACCTAAACCAATCTACCATTTCATTTTATAAAAACTCCTTTGACCTTAATCCCATCCTAGTCAATTGTTTAATCATTTAAACAACAAATTATAATAAAAGAAATACTCTATTTAATCCCAACCCGATAATGATTTTAATTGTTTAAATCACATATCCAAAATCCAAGTTTTGACAAATCATCCACGTATTCCCCAATATTATTTTATTAATGTAAAATAATACACTAACCAGTAAGTACTAAACTATTCTCATTTAAGAATATCTAACCCTAATCCAATCCTTACATACAACAACCATAGATGATATTTTAATCATCTAACACATAACAACGTAATTATGTTTTGGCAAATCAACCATGCCATTGTAAATATTTTTATTTATATATTGGCAATTCAACCATGCCTCCATAAGTATATTTATTTATACATTGGCAATTCAACCATGCCTCCGTGTATGTATATTTATACATTGGCAATTCAACCATGCCTCCACAGGTATATTTATTCATACATTTAATTAGCAATTCATCAATGCTTTCCATATATGTATTCTATTCATACAAATATTTAGGTAATATATTTAATCACTTGACAATTCATCCATGCCCACACTTTAACCATGAATTAACTTTAAAATTAACAATACGCTAAATCATACATAGCCATCACATGCATATTATACGCATATCATTAATTTAACAACCGGCCTATTAAGATATGCCAAATAAGAATGATAATATTAATCATCTTAAATGATTTATATATATATATATATACCCACACATATGTTATTTAATGTATATATGTGTTTAACACCTTCTTTAATAATCCTTGATTATTTAAAATCAATATATATATATATATATATATATATATATATATACACACACACACTTCCTTCCATAACAAATTATTAATTTATTATATTTACACAAATTAGTGCAACTAAATATGTCAGAAATAGTTTCCTTTAAATACTCCATATTGGTTTAAATAGTTTTCCGACACTTTCTCACTAAAACGTAAATATCTCTTATTAGGATAAGAATCTGATAATGAAATTGGTACCATTGGAAAGAGGACGAAAAATCCTTGAATTTGAGCTCAAGAATGACCCAATTTCGATTTAAGATGACTAAGTTATGACCGTTTTAATTTTATGTCACAAACAGACAAAATAATTGGCTAAGCTCAAACACTACTGTGAGCGCGCCCACACTTAATTAGCTCACTTGAGCTCACACAAACGCACCCACACCAGATTAGCTCACTTGAGCTCACATGTATGCACCCACACCAGATAAATCTTCTGTTGACCAAACTTAATCCATGGTCCAGATTCACATGCGCACTCTTTTATGTACACCGTAATGCACCGAATCATTCCACTTATATTTAAACTATTCTAATGGCCTAGATCAGTGATGTAACCTTTTACTATGCATTCTACCACACTAGATCATACCTCGAATCACCCATCTCCTGATTTATGCGCCGATTCACACAGAGTGCATAGAATTAATTTAAAATTTAATAAAAATAATTCTAAAATAAATTCCAGAATATAAAAAAAATTACAAAACAAATTCTAAAAATATTCTGTAAAGTACAGAAAAATTCCAGAAAATATAAAAACCAAAATTAATCCCCTTAGGTCACAGTTCCACCTATACATTGATTTTAATATATATATCTAACATCTACATATACAAATAAAATCCAATAATCCAAAATTAAAAATATATAATAATTCATACTTTTAAATAATCATATCTAAACACAATTTAATAAAATAAATTAACTTGATGCTTTTAATTAATCCAAATTAATAATTTAATTAGAGCCTTAATACTTAAGATGAAATCCTTATAGGTTCTAAGAGGAAAAATAGAGAAAACTCGCCTGAAGGTTTCGAAACAAAACCGACGCTTTAAGCTTTAATTATCTCTTCCAATTCCGACGTCCTCCTTTTCAGATCCGACCTCCTCCTTGTCAGCCCTTCTTCTTCCTCTCTCTCTGTCTGTTTTATTTTTCTAACGTGTAAAACCTTTAACCCTAAAGCCTTATGTGTATTTTTATACACCTTAAATTCCAAATCCTATTCCAACTAGTATTATGAATTAAAATAATAATCTTTAAATAATTTATATCTATAAACATATATATATATATAAATATATATTCCTTCCATAATTAACTCATTAGTTAATTAAATCATATATACTTATAAATATCAATAAATATATATCTATATATATATCTTTCCATAACAATTATTAATTAATTATATTTATATATAATTATATATATATATATATATATATATATATATAATTGATACAAAAGTGATCATTTAAATAATTAAATAACCACGGACCTTCATTAATTAACCTAATAAGGTTTCATACAAGCCCAAGACCACATCTTTTGGTCCAACTTTCCTTAAGCCCAATCCAATTAATTTAAATAAATAAGATAATTAATTAAATACAGAAATTAAAATAACTAATTACATGAAGCACATAAACAAACAAGAATTTACAACTAAGTCATATAATACCAATAAAATCAACATACCAATAATTCAATCAATAATCAACCACACAAACAATCAATCATCATACATAATCACGAAATATAACTTAATTAAAATAAGATAATTAATCTAGCACTCAATAAAATAAAATAAATCATTGAAAAATAAAATAAAATAATTAATCCTAATTAATAAATCTTTTAAAATTATCGGGGTATTACACATCGTCTCCTCTGTTTTCTCTCTTCGTTCTTGTTTGTGTTCATCGTGTCTTGCCTGTTCCTCTGCTTTAATTTCTCAACTTCAACTGTCCAAATGGCGAGTTACAATTAAGCAACCATCCAAGTTCGGCAAGCTTCAGTTACGTCCGGCGACACTCCGAGCAAACAAGACCCCATTGGTGATCAGTGATCAAGCTTCAGCATACAGCCAAAGCCATCATCCTCATTCCAACCGAGACCCAGAAAATTAGCCAGCTAATCCCGAAAGATGCATCAATTGGTGAGATGAACAGAGATTAAAGGTTGCAAATGTATGTGGTCATGTTTAGATATATAAAATAAAAAACCCTACTTTGTAGCGAGTCTATCTGGCGCCTATGTGTCAATAGTGTGGGCCTTGCTTAAAATATAGCAACATCTCTTTTAGAAAGTTACTACCTTTTCGGTTTCAACCAAAATAACACTTCCTATTCATTTCTTGCATGTTCATCGTCTCCTCTGTTTTCTCTCTTCGTTCTTGTTTGTGTTCATCGTGTCTTGCCTGTTCCTCTGCTTTAATTTCTCTCGTTTCGTGCGTGTTAAAGAACCATCATATGAACAAAACAACTGTAAAATTTGTCAAAGGAGGTATGAATTCTAGTTTAAGAATTTTTTTTTTTTTTCTTTTTTCATATTTAAACAAGATGAGTTTTCTCCTTGTATTTCCTTTCTTTTAAGACTTTTTTAAGAGATATTTGAACAGTAAAATTGAAAGATGAGTTTGCTCTCTATATTTCTTTTTTCTTCTGAATTTTTTTATTTTTTAAAAAAATATACGAACAATAAAATTGAAAGATGGATTTGCTTTCTGTATTTTCCTTTATTCTGGTTATTTTTTTTTTTTTTGAAAGAGATATATAAGCAGTAAAATTGATTTTATAGAACCCAGAAATTGGACACTAGTTGATAACTGGAGCAATATTTATTTTATTTTTATTGTTCTTCTTTGTGTTCTGGAAGACTTTTACTATGTTGAACTCCAGTAATTATGGCAATTGTATTTTGTTCATTTGGAGGATTTTGATGCACTGAAGAATTAGTAATAGTGTATGATAGAATGTGAAACTATAGTATTTTTTAAAAGATATTTGATATTTTCATACATTTCTTATGTTGCAAGTTTTTTAATAATGGGATTGACAACTATGGATGCTAATTCTTTTTATTACAACTATTATTGATTAATACTTTGAATTCAATTAAAAAAAAGTTTAGATTATGTTTTACTCATTGTTTGGTGAAGAGACATACATTATAATTACTAAAAAAAGAAAAGAAAAAGAGGTATACATTTTTTTCACATTTTAATCTAGATAATATGCATAAAGATTTTAGGTAGACATGCTATATTATTTACTTAGTTTATTCTTTTTTATTTGTATAATCAAAGTACTTATCATGTATTTATATAATTACAAATGGAAGAAGGTTCTCATGTGTTGGAGACCTCAATGATAAAGCAAACGAACAAGAGTTAAAAGGAATTTTACTTGGGGATGAAGTCGAAAAATCTGTTGTTGGATGATTTTTTGTTCTCAAGAGTAAGTTAGTAGTTATTATAACAACTATGCTAAGAGTAAAGGTTTCAGTGTAATAAAAGTCAGTGCAAATAATGGAAGTGACAGAAAGTCAAGGTACTTTTCACATTCGCTCCGTATGTAAAGCCAATATCAATAGCAAAATAATCTTTTCACCCAAGATCATTAATTAAGACTAATTGTAAAGATAAAATCAATATTACGGATAAAGATGATGAAAGATTCATTATTGCTTGTGTTTATCTTGACCATAGTCATACATCAAGTCTAGTAAAGGTACCACACTTTAGGTGGAACAAGGCATTAGATTCTCGTGTGAGCTTGCCCACATAAATTTGGTAATTATGTGATCTAAATAGCTTTAAAGACCACACAGGTGAGTCTCAATTTCATATGATCTTATGAAATTTGTTTTTCCCACTTAATTAGCACTTTGATGACATATGTAAATATTTGGTTATATATGTTTGTTTGGGGAATTTAATTTAACTATGTTCTGTTTTGCTCTATTTTGGTATGCAGAAAGCCGATATAGATCTATATAAATCTCTTGCAAGCTCCCTCCAACCACATTTGTCAACTCTGCAGTACTGTAAGCCTGGAGGACCGAATGTGGTTAAACTGATTAGAGGTGGCTTCTGAAGGCAAAGTCTTATTTCTGCTGAATGAGAGAATACACGTCGATTATGAAATTCATTGTTGTTGATGGTTTAGTACCTTCTGAACGACTTCAACGTAAGATGCATACAACGGGACTCAACTCTGGATCCTAGTGTGCATGTTATCCAGCCAAGGATTTTTGTGCAAGTCCTCAGTCCATTTGGCAATGTCCTTCTCGCTTTGGCTAAATTATCCAGAAGAATTCAAGTTTTGCAAGAGAATTAATGTTACATTCTTCTTTTTAAATTGGTTTTAAGATCCTTAGAAATTAAATATTTTCTTAAAGAAAATTCATCTTTTTCTCTTCTATACTTAAAAGTCACACATGCAGCACGTCTCCTTTGTTTTCTTGGGAGCAAAACCATAATAGCTGACTGCATCTACTAATCACAATCATATATTGCTTAAGAAGAACAAAATTCTACCCTCCTCTCCTCCTGCACTAGCAAAAAGTTCAGAAGCATTTACCCTATACAGTAGTAATAGTACTAAGCGCGCAATTTGTTATTCAAATTTATAGCGACTTTTCTATAACGAAGTCCTAACAAACTTTGGCATCCTCTATTAAAATTTCTAAATTGTCTTGGAATCTTCAGATACCTGAAGATTCCAAGAATGGGTGGTGGCTACTTAAAAACTGGGCAACCTTTAACCACAATGCCTGGTGCTGTAGGGCATGTTGCCAGGGGACAGTGATCAGGCTCCGAACCCCACCACTTTATGTTATGGCCCTCATTCTGCAATGCAAAGAAGAGCAGAACACCCATGAAAGCAGTGCCAGCATCCAATGCCGCGGACAGAACATAGTTATATTTCTGCCACCATCCTTTCCGGTATCTGAACACAAAGTAGTTGAAGATGGTCCCCGTGATAAGCCAGCTAGCTATATTGGTGGGAGTTGCCGGTGGCATTCCAGCAAAACCATAAGTTATAACTGGTATATTGATCAAGGGAATCCATTTCTTTTCTGGGAATATTTTGCTGAGTATCCAAATAGGTACCGGCAAGACAGCTCCCACAAGGAATAACCATACCAAATTCCTGTACAACCCTCCAGGTCCAAAGAGCCTCTCTGGTCCAATTAGCCCCCATATAACAGAAGCATCAAAGGTGACTCGGAATTTAGGGCATGTCCATGGGCTCTCTGGGTGGAGGGCTTCGATGTCACATAAGTTCTCAATGTTCTCTAACATCCACCATGAAACTGCAAGGTTGGCTGTACCAGAAACTAGTGTTCCCACCAGCTGCAAATACAAGAAATTAAAGCCAAAATAAGGTCAGATTGAAATGTCATGATGGAATTTCTCTAGTGCTCCAAGAAAAAAAGAAAAAAAAAGGAGATGAAAGAACAAGTTTGATAACAGTAAGAGACCTGAGCTGTGTACATGCACCGTGGTGGAATTTTCATGTAATGCCCAAGCTTAAGATCAGACAGGAAAGAGAGAGCATGAATACAACTGATTCTTCCATAAATCTTGAAAAGCAAGTTTGCAATGGGTTTTCCTGGAAGGACAAACCCAATTATGAACTGCGCGACGATGTCAATTCCAGGTTGCTGTGTGGTAGTAGCAAAACCATCAAAATGTTAGGATACATTCTGCAAATTGCTTCAACTTTGGTCATTTCCTTTATATCAATGAAGTGCCAAGAAATTTAAGAAACTTCTTCTTTTTGGATGAAAAAATTTGGGGTTTAGAAACTAAAAAATTGATTACCTGGTTAGTTGTTGCTTGAATGACTCCAATTGGGAGGGTAACAATCCAAGCCAACGCAAAGGCAAGGATCATCCCCCACCACGGCAGCTGCACATCTTCTTTCCACACAAACGACACGAGGATGGATAGGACAATGCTCCCTATTAGTAGGACAAGATACCACCATTGCGGCACTTGTTTGTAACTTTTCATCAGTTTTGCATGTATGTCCAATTTCACATTCTTCACTGCAGACTTACTTTGCTTCCAGATATCACTGGACATAAAAAAAATAAATACAATCACAATATCGTCAATTTAGGTAGATCAGGAAACATTTATGCTCAGAAGTATCATATTGCACTATTAATCAATAAATTAATTAAAAATATGGACTAAGCAAGAAGCTCATATGCATAAACTGATAAAAGGTAAATTATTTTAACCAAACATCAGTGTCTAGCATTCATAACCTCAAAGTTCACAATTAAGCAGCATACCCGCCATGAAAAAGTGCCACGTGAGTGAGGGTTGCTGTAAATCTTGCAAATCCTGATCCAATTGAAAGAGCAAACAGCGGGCTGAGATAAAGTTTGCCGTAACTATCATAGGCAGCAACATTAAGATCATACAGTGGAGTCAAAATCTTAGTGGTATCATATTTGTGGCCGGTGGAAGTGAAGAGCTGGTTAGAAAATATTGGGAATTTGCGGGCATCAAAAGTGTTGAATTTCCAGTAACACACAGGGACAATTATGTATACAAACATGATAAACCCAACCCCGACGTTAAGAATGGAAAACCAGGGTGTTACTAATGGGCTGCCATGATAAGCCGAAATCCCAGCCCAATCGATGGTGAAGGCACCCACACCAAGTCCATGGTAACCAGACCCAATTTGTTGAGCTGTGATACTGTGAGGCCAAACCCAACACACCCACGAGAAGAATGTCAAAATTGGGAACAAATAGCCTGGAAGTGTGTAATAGAGGAAGCTTGCTGTCATGAAGATAAGGAAAAATTGCATCCTGCTCATGCCTTTCGATTTTGGATCCTTTTCGTGAAGTGCTCTGCAGCAACAAAGTTATTGCCATGGTCAAAATTCAACTAATGAAATTAAGCATATTAGTAAGTATATTAGTTACTGCCATTCTCAAAATTCAACTGATAAAATTAAGCATATTGGTAAGTAGCAATCCAGAATATAATAGCATAAAAATCCTCATTTTGAACCATTTACCAAATCAAGTATGTATTTTTATTCTCTACTATTTTATCTTCATTTTTTAAGGTCAGTGTCTTGCTCTTGTGTATCGCTGTCTTGAAAGAGAATATTACATGCAAGAAAGATCGTCAAACAAATTCTCATCTAGTGAACTCTAGCATGACAAGGTTTGTGATTCACCTACTTTCTCCCTATAAAAAGATTAAAATCAACGCACTCTTTAAATTATGTTTTTTGATTTCAGAAGTAAAACAATCAGAGATGACGTGGAATATATGTATTTTACACCTTGAGTTTTTGGAAAACCACACGGAATTACAAGAATATATGAAAATTATAAAACAACACATTTAACAAAAATAATTTATCCATCAATTTTCGACAAATTATTTTATATGTCTCGCCGGATGAATTAGACCTCAACCTAGACGCAAACCTTTCCAATCACCGACAAAGTAAAAATAGAACAATATTTCTTGAAAAAAAAAATATTTTTTAAAAAGAATATTTCATTTCGAAACAAAGAGAGGTGTGAAATTTTTTATTTAAATCATTTTCATTGATAAAAATCATTATAAACATAATTTTGAAGCACCAGCAGAATACATAAATACTAAAGAATAAACAATGAGAGTACTAAATAGTGAAGACACGTTAGGCAAACAAATAAAATAAAATAAAATAAACAGAAAGGAGAAAGGCAGACCTAAACAGAGAAACCTGAGCAAGGTTTGAAGGCCACCACATTTCAACAGGATCAACCAGGTACTTCCTCAACATCCCAGCCCATCCATACCCCACTAGCTGATATCAGGAGGGGAAAAAAAAACCGTTAATGTAAAAAAAAAATTAAAAAAAAAAAGCCCTATTCTATTAGCAATTAATTCCCATTTCTTGTTTTTAATCTGTCAAAGAATAATAATTTTTTTCTTAAAAAAAATAAAAATAAAAATACAAATTGAACATGTTACTTTTAAATTGTTAATAATATACTGAGGCCGCAAAGAAAATAGATTTTGAAGGAAGATTTAGTATTTAATTACCTGAGTTGTCAAGACAATAAGGAGAGCACACAAGAAGTTCAAACTCTGTTTATAATAACCCTTCATGACAGTAATGGCTCCAATCGAGTACGCATCACCCCCACCGATAGAAACCCCACAATTAGCAAAGACAGTGATGATCACATGCTCCTTCATATTGAACGGCCCAGGATTCAAGCTGAAACTTTGACCCAACACCGTGTACTTCTTCGTCGGAAGCGTCTTTGCCATGAACTTTCCGATGGGCAGCACGGCTATTTGCATGAGAATTGCAGAGATGGTCAAGGGCTGTGTACGGTAGATGAAGAAGGTGTTTAGGGCTATGAGGACCGTACACGAGGTTAAACCCAGGAACCAAGCTCGGAATGTCAGAACCGGTAGTGATGTGTCGTCAGTTTCCGGGACAACCAGCGCCACCTCCTCCACAGGACACCTGTCTTCTGACGGCAAAGATTCTCCGTTCATCTTCTCGAAGTCCGTGCGGTGGTGGTTGTTAGACTCGCTCTTCGACGCCATTGCAGAGTTTTCAGAGATCTCTGTGAGAAGAAGCACCCCAGTCAGTTTACTTATGCCACTCTGTCCACACAGAGGGTTTTATAAGATTTTCGAGGGGTTGATGTTACGATAATACCCCTATTCGGATGCTTTCATTTTCTTTTCTTTTTGAGATGAGTGTGCCTCTTTACAATTTTGACTTGGGTCTAGTCGGTTTCCCTGTCCAGTCCAAAGGCATGATCTGATTGAATTGACAGATGTTGACTGATAAGTCTAGGAGATGACAATAATACCCTACAGAAAATATCCCTCTTGCGAGCAATTAAGTACATAATTTCTTGAAAATTATTGCCCTTAAGTGTTGTTATCTTTCAATGTGCATAAATGTCAATCACAAATTAACTTTTCATCGTTGTCATCGTTCCAAACCGATGGAGTTCGAATTTTCATTCTCCGTCCTTGTTTTATTATAAATTATATCTTTTTTTAAATTTAAAATTTTAGGGTAAAATACAGTCACACCTCTTGAGATTTGATAAAAAGTCATTCAGAAAAAATTTACTTATTTTTAAAATAAAGACACCATGAAGATTCAAAAATAGACAAACACACTCATTTATATGAAAAATTGACCAAATTACCTTTTGACCGTTTTGGAGACTTTTTTAACTTTACAATTTAATAAATTGGACCAATCTACCCTCATGAATAATTTATGCATAAAAAAAAGTAAAAAAAAAAAAACTTTATATTGTTCACTTACTTTTATTTTTTTATTTACTTTATAAATGTCCCAACTTCTTTAAAATGTAGACGTTTAAAAGGATTTTTTGATTCAATATATATATTTTAAATAAATTATATTTTGTTATTGTTTCTTTTCTTTTTCTTTTTAATTTTTAAATTAAGATACTTAATTCTTTTATTTAAAAAAATTGGGTTAATTACAATGACACCCCGTGAGGTTTGTTATAATAACAACAATATACAAGTTGGGATTTTTTTGAATAATGACACCCCCTGTCAGAAATTGCATCTAAACAAGCCCTTAAGAAGTGTGAAAAGTCAAGATTGCCCTTCAATATTTTATTAATTTAAATTAAAAAATAATCAAAACTCCTAAATGATGTTTTTGCCCTTGGTATATTATCAGTATACGTCACCACCTCTAACCTCTCACCTTCTCTAACCATAATCTCTCAAACCCTAACCCTAACAAACCCAACCTATGCTCCCTCCATTAAACCCACCACCAAATACCTAAACCTCTCCACCCCTAAATCCCACACCACCGTTGTTGCCGCTGCCACCACCAAAAAATTCATCGTTGTTGAACCCTTGGATCCCGCCGCTGCCACCACCAAAAAATTCGTTGTTGTTGAACTCTCAGATCTAGCCGCCGCCGCCGCCACCAAAAATCCGCGTTATTGAACCCCCAGATCTGGCCGCCGCTGCCGCCACCACCAAAAATCCGCGTTGTTGAACCCTCGAATCTGGCCACTGAATTGGGTGGAAATTTGGACGCATCAAATTGGGTTGTTATTGCCAAAGAGGGAGACGAGAGGCCCATCCCTGTGATGGCCACATTCTTCTTAATTTGGATCATTCTCGTGCTTAGGGTGAAGGTTGTGGTGGTGTTGATGCCACCTCCGCCTCCGCCGCAGCCATCGTCAAAGTCTAGGACCTTATATATATATATATATATATATATATATATATATATATATATATATATATTGAAGGTATGGTTTTTGAAACTGATGGTATGTGTGTGTGTGTGTGTGTGTGTATATATATATGTGAGTGTATGTTGAAGATTTGGATTTTGAATAGTGAAGCGGTGATGATGGTGGTGGGTGTGACATTCATTGCAACAAAGATTGATTTAGATGATAGGGGTGGTGGTAATGGACGGTATGGAGGAGAAGGGAAATTTTTGCGTTTTGTTTTTATTTTTTTATTATACAAAGTTAGAAGGGTTATTTTATTATTTAAATGAGTTAATTAATAATTCAAAAGTGCAACAATGTAAATTCCTTAAGTGGCAGAGGTGGTAGGTGATAGTTGGGGTGCCTTTGTTAACTTTATTAAACTTGAGGGGTTGTTATTGTAATGACCCGAATTTTTAGGATAAATTTTTTTTCGTTATCTTTTCCCTTCTGAGTTTGGTTTTTTGTCGATTAGTGTCGTCTCGAGTGCTCTGGAGTGATTTCCGAGACTCTTTTCTTTGGATTGACAACTTCCTTTGAGGACCGAGTCATTTCCACATTTTTCGTTTTTCGACACTATTCACTTTTCGTCCTTTTCCCTATTTTGTCTTTTCCCCGTTTAACACTTTGTTTGCGTAACCATACTTCTTGTGTACGGAGTTGGTTTCTGACTTCACGTATTTCATCCACAATAATTTCTATGAGATACGTATCTTTACTTTCGTGAGAAAGTACTCTGGTTGCTCCCGGTGCCCATAGGGGCATAAATGCAAAGTTCTTTGGAAACTTTTTCTTTTCTTGGGGTGTTTTTCATAAATATCTTTTGAAGATATTTTATTTCAAGGGTATCTAAGAAAATATCTTTTGGAAGATATTTTCATTCTGGGGCAGTTTCACAGTTTTCACTTTTTAGATGGGCCATTGTGTGATTAATGAAAGTTATTGCTCAATGCCTTCTTTTGAGCCTGGATCCTCGTATGGGATTCATTTTCACATTTCGTCGAGTCGCGAACTCTTAGAATTTCCTCCTGGACGATGTTTTCCAGTTTCAGGGTTTCTGGCCCCGGTTTGCGCCAAACTTGTTTTGGGCATAACTTTCTGCTCGGGACTCAGTTTTCAACTCTATTTCTTCCTTATTCATATTTTCTCATTTGAAATCTTTTTTGTTCACGGAGTTTTGCTGTTTGAGCATGTCTGCTCGAATTTCAATTTTCTGGACCCGGCGGGGCCCGTTCGAGGCAATTTTTGAGTTTTTCTATAAATAGGAGGTCTTAGAAAGAAAAATCAGATTTTTCTCTCTCTCTCCTCTCTCATGGCCGGTCCAAGCTCCTCCCATGGCTGCCATCTTCTCTCTCCTCCTTTGGACTTCTTCCCTTCATTAAAAAGTGGTGATGCCTTTATGTTTATTGTTCCCTTCGGTGAGGCCTTCGATTCCAACCGATTGGAATCTCGTTTTGGCCATTTCTTGAGTTCGGCTTTGAAGTCAAGTTGTGTTTTTTATGGGGCTTCCTTGGGATTCATGTTCGTGGTGTTGTCCCCGACAAAACCTAGGAGTTTCGTCGGATTCGAAACCGATTTATTTTGGTGGGGATTTGAGATTTCATCTCAAATGGAGGTAGGGAATGTTTTAGGCTTTTGTGTGTATTGTATTAAGTGTTTAGCATGATTATACAACTTATATATGTGCCTTATATCAAATCTAGAAAGTTAGTAATTTTTAATTCTTTGTATAAGATTTAAAATTCATGATGATATATAACTTTGATTTGAATTGTGGCATGGTAGAAAATCTTGTTTTAATATATTGGTTAACATATATTAAATTTGGATTAATTAAATAAGAATTGTTCGTTTTAATTAATATTTATCTTTTGTGAAAGATTAAAGTTCATGGCCGTACCTTGCATGAAATTGAGTTGTATTATGCTTCTAAATTAAGTTTTAGCATGTTTGTTAACATACTTTAATTTGAGAGCATTTGGTTGAGTTTGGAAATCTAGAGACTTTAATTAAGATAATTAATTAAAATCTATTTTGTGGTTTCATGGGCCTAATTAAGCTTTTGTGTGAATATATGTCATGACCATGATATGTCTTTCATCATATATTAAATTGAGGCCAATTGGAAATGATTTGAAATCTAGAGAGTTTAATTATTTTGATGTAATTAGATTCTATCTTGTTTATTCATGGATTTAATCATGTTTTAGAAGGTGCTTCTATTTTAAGATCATGGATTTAGACTTGTGAAGTATTCACTCGATTGTGTTACATGCATTTAAGGATATTGTTGTTAAATTTATATTCATGAGAGTATGTTTCTAATATGAATATATTGTTGGTATGTGATTTCGTAGCATTATGGATATGAAATGCTTATTATGCACAATTGAGAATTATATTGCTAACTTGTTACTATGTAGTAGTAATAAGTATAAGTTATGAACTTATTTGGCTTATTTTGGAATCTTGGAACATTGTTGAGTTAAGATATGTGATACCTCTCGATTCTAGAGCCACGGGTGATCAAGTCTGAGCACAGATCCGAGGGATACCAAGCAATTAATATGTAAACAAGCAGAAATAAAAAACTGAACTAAGAATAAATTAATAATATGCTGAAAAAAAATATAAAATAAGAATCCTCAAACTTGAAATAATAAATTAATATAATTTAAAACCGTACAACTCGGGAATCCACCTAGTGGACCCCTAATCCCAAATCCATGAATAAATTTACAGAATTAAAACTCAAAAATTAAAATAGAAAGGAAATCCTATGTAACCGGAAGAGTGAGTGTCTATATCTGCACCAACACGATCAAGCTCTACGCCTAGTACTGTCGAACACCTGAAAAATAATAGAGTGGGTCAGGCCCACATGCAAGTCCTGATCTACTACGATCCAAACAGTAATCCGATACACAGATACATCCTAGAAAGACTCAACAATATCTAGAGTAGTCCATATATGTATATATAGTACACAATATAGGATGCTCGCTAGTCCAATGGGTCTGTCTCAGCCTGAATAGAAGGCAACATGCAAATACGCACCCTAGGTGGGCATGAGTACCTAGACCTACTAAGGAACAATACCTATGTCCAGTTATCCATCATAGGCGATATACGCGCCTTAACTATGGTCCTGAGACTCAGGCTCATACTATGCCACATAATATATATATATAAAGTCCGTACTCCCAATACAAAATATCAGCCATCTTTGTAGTGGTCTGATATATGTAAACACTCCATCCTGAAACCGTAGTAAGTCTTTCAATTCACAATTGATATGACACATGTAGATGATGGACTTAACCTTTATGGTTAATCCATACCTTAATCC